TCTTGAATTCTTCCCTGTGCTTTGGCTTCTCTGTGCTCCAGTGCAATTTTCAGAGTCTCTTCTGACATCCGTGAATTTTGGTCTTTTCTTCCTCTTCTGTCTTTGTAATGACCGTTTGCACTCTTCTTGGATGATACCCTTGATTTCCTTCCACAACTCATCTGGTCTTTGCTCATTAGTGTTCAAGGCCTCTAATCTGTTCGTGAGATGGTTCTGAAATTCAGGTGGGGTAGTAGCCAGAGAATCCATAAAGGAGGATGTAGCAGTAGACCAGGAGAGCCTTCTATAAACCAGTACCAGTGCTCTTGCTCTGAAATTGACTAAGTATAAATAAAAGAGTAAGAAAGCACATAAAAAAAATATTAAAAGTTATATAACTGTTCACCAGCATCCAGTTATAATTACGGGCTTTAAATGAAGACTGATATATTCTTATCCTCTTGCCTACCCTTGTCAACCCTTTAGGGCCCAGTTAGAGGTTCCTCTGATCGAGAACCATTCTCACAATCCTTAAAGGCTACTGTTGTTGTTATGTTCTGTTGAGTCACCCGCGACTCATAGCGACCCTATATACAACAACCCTAAACTCTGTCCTATCCTATGCCAATCTCACTGTCTCTGACTCACCTACCCCCGTTACCCCAGTGACCGAATCAGTCCATCTCTTTGAGGGTCTCCTCTCCTGTGCTGTCCCTTTACCCTCAAGCATGACGTCCCTCTCCAAGGACTGGTACCTCCTTGCAACATGTCCGAAGTATGTCAGAAGGAGCTTCAGAATCCTTGCCTCCAAGGAGCAGTCTGGCTTCACCCTCTCCAGGACAAACCTGTTTGTTTTCTCAGCAGTCCATGGTATATTCAGTACTCTTCTCCAACACCACAGCTCAAAGGCATCAATTCATTCCTAGTCATTGTCCAGCTCTCTGATGCATAGCAAGTCACACCCTAATCTCCAGACTGACATTGTTACACTTCAGTACTTTAGAGAGATCTCTAACTGCAGATTTTCCCATTGCAATATGTCTTTTTATTTCCTGGATGCTGATGCCAAGAGTGTCGAATGTGGAGCTAAGCAAACCAAAACTATGAAAAATCTCAGTCTCTTACCACCCATCATGATGCTGCCAATAGGCCCAGTGCTGAAAATCTTTGTTTTCTTGACACTGAGCCTCAATCCATACTGAAGGCTGCAGTCCCTGACCTTCCACAGCTAGTGCTTCAGGTCCTCCTCAGTTTCACAAAGGAGGATTGTGTCATCTATATAATGCAGATTGTTGATGAGTCTTCCTCCAATCCTAATGCCACATTTCTCCTCATAGAGCCCAGCCTCCTGGATGATCTGTTCTGCATAAGAATTGAAAAGGTATGGAGATAGGATACATTCCTGGCATACCCAATTTTGAATCATGCAATGTTTCCTTGCTCTGTTCTGACGACTGCCTCCAGGTCCCAACTATAGATTTCATATTAACACAATCAAGTGTTCTGGGATTCCCATTCTTCTCAGAGTTAGCCATAGTTTGTTATGATCCACACTGTCAAATGTCTTTGCATAACCAGTGAACAAAGATAGACATTTTTCTGGTACTCCTTGCTTTCAGCCAAGATCCATCTAACATTAGCTGCAGATGGATGTCAGAAGAAACTCTTAATATTTCTCTAGAGCGTCAAGAAACCAAAACAGAAGGAAGAAATAAAGACATTAAGGAGCTAAACAGGAGATTTCAAAAAACAAACTGAAGTATTATAATGAAATGTGCAAAGAGCTGGGGTCAGAAAATCAAAGGGGCCAAACTCCCTCAGCATTTCTTAAGCTCAAGGAATGAAGAAGAAATTCAAACCTCGAGTTGCAATACCTAAGGATCCTTTGGGCAGAATATTAAATGACCCTGCAAGTATTAAAAGAAGATGGAAAGAGTCATTATACCAAAAGGAATTGGCAGACACAGAAGAATTTAATGGAGCAGCATATGAGCAAGAGTCTATGGTGATGAAGGAAGAAGTTCACACTGCTTTGAAGGAATTGGCTAAGAATAAGGCCCCAGGAATTGATGGCTTACAAATGCTGCCCTACATGTGCTCACCAAGTTGTGCCAAGGAATCTGGAGAACAACCACTTGGCCAACTGACTATATTTGTTCCCATTCCAAAGAAAAATGATCCCACAGAGTGTGGAAATTATCGAACAATGTCATTAATA